AGCTTACAGTCATACAAGCTCATTCCCATATCACATAGATTTTAAATTTGATGTACGTAAAATTTGTTTTTGTGTTATGTCCCACATCACATAGATTTTAAACTTGTTGTATGTAAAATTTGTTTTTTTTTTTTGTATTATGTAGTAATGTACGGCATTAATATTAATATTGTTAAGCGTAGATTAGATCTCCTCTGTAGTAAAATATGAAAATGATGTGTCAACATACTTAGGAAAACAATCTGGCACGAAACTTTTATATGTTTATGTGTAATTTTTAATGTACTTTGATTGTTATCTGTTTTGTTGTCCATATAATAAATAAATAAAAATAAAAAAATAAAAATAAAATAAACGTGCGCACAATCCTCAGTAGTCAGTGGTAAGTGGTTGTTGTGGCCCACAGACCTTATGTTCGATTACGAATCAAAATGCGGATGCGTGGTCACCCGTGGGGACTAAGATGGAGTGCCTCGTTTTGAGTAAAAAAATATCCGGTTCTCCACACTCACCATACGAAACACAGCAATGTTAAGCTGCTATTTTATGCTGGTATTCAGCATGGCTCCACCACCTATAAAATAACGTTATATGTATCTTGCTCAATGATATTTATAAAATAAGAAATATTGAGCATATGTTAAACAAAATATATTAATATAAATATAAACACTCACGCCTGTTACCCAGGGGGGTAGGCAGAGACTACGGACTTCCATTTGGCACGATCCTGACATACCTCTTTCGCCTCCTTTACATCCATATATCTACGCATACATGTTCGTCGGTTAAGGGTACTTCTAACGTGGCCCCTTTTCAAAATATCGCCAATTTGGTCGATAAACTTTTTTCTAGGGCGTCCCTTCCCGACTCGGCCGTTCACATCCGCCATATAAATTTGCTTTGTCACTCTTTCCTCATTCATTCTTTCTACATGACCAAACCACCGAAGCATTCCTTTCTTAATCCTGGTCACAACATCATCTTGCATACCACATTTATCTCTTATCATGCAATTTCTCACGCTGTCATTCAGATTCAACCCTAGCATACTCCTTAAAGACCGCATTTCTACAGCATTTATTCTACTTTCGTGCTTCTTCTGCCACCCCAGCTTTCACCACCATACATTAAAGTAGGGACTAACACAGCATTATGAATTACCATACGTGCCTTTTTTGACACATTCTGGTTCTTCATAATAGAGTGTAGTGCCCCATTCACTCTATTCCCTGCATTTACTCGTCGTTCTATATCCCTATCATATCTACCATCCCTGCTAAATACACATCCCAAATACACAAACTCTAACAAAATATATTACTTAAATATGTACAGTTCGGTCGAAGCATTCATCCATTACAGACTATAAAAGTCTACCGCCCAACGTGGGCCTACACTATAGATTGCCTCACAGTTGGAATTTTGCCATAGTTTCCAGGCGTGACAGTTGCCCACCGCAGTTTTTTAATATTTAAGTACTTATTAGGAGTCCGCTGCTGCCCATGTCCTGTTACGATTCCACAGATTGATATGGCGTAGTGTATGTTCTTACATCACCAATACACGGTAAATGTACAGTTCCCTAGTTGTCAATCACCATACCTTAGTATTAATTTTTTGTCTTCATTATTAAATATTACAACGCATACATTTTTAGACACTACATCGTTTAGAGACACTATTTCTAAATCTTTCATAATTACTTTGTAGGCCGCTTTTCGGGCATCTTTATTTTTATATAGATGGTTATTAAAATTCCTGAGATATTAGTTTCACTCATCACTACACTATACAAACTCTACTATCTACTGTCCACCCTTTGAGTATTCAACCAATTGGAGAGGCCATGCGCGTTAATTTCTAAACAAAAAGTCTGTCAATTTCAGGGGGGCGCAAGAAATACACACTACTGTATACTTCACTAGAAACGTATTTGTGTTTATGTTCATTGCATTTACGCATACCATCAAATTGTACACGTATCGATACACTGGTGCCGCTGTCTACATGCGTAAGCGTCGTAAGGCGAGGACTATGTCGATATTTTTATCGTAAAACAAATCACCTTAGTCTGAATAAGTTCAGTATAATATAAAAAGTGATTTTTAGTATTTTTTCATTCATTACCTACAGCCTTTTAAAAATCCGCTGCTGAATATAGGCCTCCTCCAAGGGGTGCAAGAAAGCACGGTTCTGATCCATCTGCATCCATCGACTTCCTGCATATCTTATCAGGTCATCACTCCATCTATTGGGGGTCGCCCTGCACTTCACCCACCGGTATGAGACTGCCACTCGAGAACCTTTTCCCCCCCATCGGTTGTCGATTCTTCTGATCTCTGATTCAAGCTATATGACGGCCCATTGCCACTTCAGCTTACTAATTTGTTGGGCTATGTCAGTCTCTCTGATTCTACTGTGAATATCCTTATTTTTATGTTGATCGTGCAGAAAACCCCGAGCATAGCCGTCTCCGTAGCTCGCTGAGTTACTTTGAGCTTCCTCATACGGCCAGCAGTGAAGGGTTTTTAGTGTAGTATAAAATTATGATTTTATTAGTAAATATAATTGTGGCTAGTTTTAGAAAGAGTGATCAAACTCAGATTTTAATTCAAACTTAATCAAAAAGTTAACTATGGGTACTTTCCAACTTGTGTTTATACCGAGCAATAAAAACACTAATGCGTCAGTAGCTTCATCGATATTATCGGATATAATATCAAACCCGTAGTTGACATAGCCATATTGCCATTGGCTGTTAGCATGGTATTTCATCAAGAGCTTAATTTTCATTTCATTCATGACCAAGGTACAATAAAAAAAATTTATCGGGGCAACTTTCCGCTCTCAAATTTTATGCTGTTAGCGCTCCTTGAGTAAACCCTGGTCGGCTATTGATGATACTGTACCACTTGTCAATGTCTATGGTGCAGGCAAACGTTTTCCCAAAATTTTACGTACATAGCGATAGGATTTTCGTTAATAATCAAGTATTAGGGCGAAACATCTTAACTCTGTGAAATATTTAGTTTTGGGCAGTTTTCAAACTTACTTTTAAGTAATTGTCTCAAAAACTCAACTCAGCCTAATATTAATTTCCAAATTAAGCTTCACACACTTGCTATGATCCCTTAAGTACTAGTTGCAGCTTTTTATAAATTAGTGAGGTCTCTGAGACCAATTATTTAGGATTCATAGTTGACCAACATTTTAATGGCATAGACACATTGAATTAATCTTGAATAAACTTAGGAAATTTACATGGACATTTAAAACGCTAAGACGAAAAAGTTACTATACCAAATATATATTATAATATATGCTTTGGCTCAATCTATCTTAGTATATTGTATTCCTGTATGAGGTGGAGCTACAAAACCCAAATTTCTGGAAGTTGAAAGGGCACTTCTCTGTGCTTCTACTAACTTCTAGAACTACTTACTTTACTTCTAGAACTTCTTTTCTAAAAAATATGCATTTAAACCAAAAAGATTCTCCACAGAAGATCTTGTTTCCATAAGTAATGTACTTACTGTTAGGAAACTGTACATCTTATATTCAGTTCTGAAACTGCATAAAGGTATAAAGTTTAACCGTTGTATTGTAGTCAAAAGAAGGAAAAAACGTAGTGGTTACAGCAGTCGCCATTAAAACTGTTTTAGCTGGGAATCAATATGTAAAATAGTCAGCGACTCTATACAACGCATAAAAATTCATCATCTTAACTACCATAATTGCAAATATGTTCTAACCAAATGGGTATTTCATATGAGCTATGATGAAACTGAGGCTCTTTTAAGCAATATGAAATAATGTAATTTATTTATAACACACACACACACACACACACACACACACACACATACGCGCGTTCGTGCACTCACTCACTCACTCACTCATTCACCCACTCACTCACACCAACACATACACGCGCGCGTGCGTATATATATTATATACCTTTGGCTTGAATATTATTAGTTTTTTATGTTATTTTTTATAATTAGTTAATATGTAAGGATCATGCAAATAGTAATGTAAGTGCTATGGAAGAGTGGAGCCACCTCACACAAGTCTTTATACTTAAAAGGAGACCTCATCCCCGGTTGTAATTTATGTATGATTATTTACTGAATATACTATTGTTGCGCGCCTAAGTTGACGTCAGGTACCTGGCACTAGCGTCATCTAGTGTCGGTGACCAGAGCGAGGAGGTCTTCCTAGAAAATGTCAATCTTGACTTTCGACCAACTGCGCCATCTAGTATCGAACAGAAGAGTTAAGCTTTCTAGAAGGCCTCTAAGGAATGACACAAAGCATGTTCAAACTCCACTTGCATGCAAAGACACGCGTGGACACGTTGAAAGTAGTTGCATAAATTTGTTCCATCATAAAAACTCGCGTAGACCGGATTTATTTTGATTTCATGAAATTAATACATTCTTTATGAAATTCCTAAAGGAACTGTATCCACGGCTGGTCGTCGCTGCTGCTGATAAGAGGGCTGATTCTTTCCTCGCTCAAAGGCTTAGTATAGCTATTCAGCGAGGAAACGCAGCCAGGTTCTTGGCACTATACCACTGGGAGCAGGACTTTTTGACTATTAAAATTTTTAGTGTTAGTTTTTCTATATAAGGGAGTAACGTCACAGACGCCTGTCCTGAGATACATAGTTAGTGAGTCAGAAGAGTTTATGTAAATTTAAAATTATTTGGACGTTGTTTAAGTCAGAGATTTTGTGCAAAAGTTAAACATGTGTGTACTGCGAACCTTATATAGTGTGGATACATTAGAGTGTTTAGTGATTAATGAATAAATCGTAAAAAAAAACAACATTTACATATTAAAAACGTTTTATTTTTAAATGTCATCGAATAAAATTTAATAATATAATACCGTCATATAATACTGATCAACACAGCGCTCCATCTCACGCCTCCGTTGTGTACTAATAAATCAAAGCATAATTTAGCTTTATCAAGTATTAAAACTTATTGATCATGGCATTTAAGTGCAGTGCGTGCGGTAAATACATGTCTCCGCAAGATGGCGCTAATGTTACTTGTACAAAGTGCAATAAACAGCTAGCTCGTGCGTGTGTAGGCATCGCAGTGGGCGCTTCACTAATGCCATCCTGGGCTTGCCCTGTATACAAATTGAAAGAAAAACGTTGCAACAAGGACACAACGCCGGTAAAACCCTCAACAATGACTGTTGCTAATTCGAGTGAGGTGTCAAACCTCGGGGAGGAATTCCGATGTTTCCGAGAAGAAATGCGGCAAACCCGCGAAGAATTTCGGGCATTCATAGAAGAACTTTGGGACATAAGAAACCTTGTCAGCAAATGCGATGCTATGCGAATGCGGAATGCGATGCGATGCGAAAGCTCGAGAACACGGTCCAAACTATCCTGGAATCACAAGAGCAATATGGCTCTTAAGGATTCAAAATTGAAATCCTAAAACTCGAGTCGACCGTCATTCAGCTGCAAGCCGACTTAAACGATAGGGACCAGGAGTTGCTTGCAAATGACGTCGAATTAAGTGGCATTCCAGAGGAGAGTGGGGAGAACCCAACACACTTGGTTCTATCAGTTGTAACCAAGCTTGGTGTTCATTTGGAGGAAAAGGAACTGGTTCATTGTATGCGAGTGGGGGGGCGTCTCGTCCGCGGCCCATCGCTGTGCGGCTGGCGCGGGGCGACGTGCGTAATGACGTGCTGCGCGCTACGCGCGTCCGCCGGTCTCTAACAACCGAAGCTCTAGGTCTTAAGTCCGCACCCTGCAATATCTATATAAACGAACGACTGACTAAAACAAATAGGCAGTTGTTTCGCATGGCACGCTGGACAGGCCGCAAGCAGAGATGGCGATATGTTTGTACGAAGGGAGGCCGAATTTTTGCACGTCGAGGACCAGCAGCTCCAATAAATCGCATTCGCTTCAACGCGGATATTGCAAAGATTTTTGGGTCCGAATTTGTTCGATCACCATAACTGCCTCTCAGTTTACTTACAAAAAAGAAGTAGTGTTTTTAATTTCTTTATTTAATTTTGTAACTGTTTACTATCGTCAAGTGTTATGTGGGTACTTGTATATACCCATAGTTATTAATAAGATTTATTTACAACTCCGAAATAATACGAAATCCGATTTAAAAAAATATATAGTTAGGCCAAGTTATCGTAATAAGCTATTTGTATTTCCATTTAAGTTATAAAATATTTGCTACCCATATAAATTATTTGTTATAGTCTCTTGAATTTTATTAGTGCACCATTTATTCTTAACTGTTTGCCAAACAAAGTAAATGTCTTTTTACATTACTCAGACTTTATAAAGCTTGACGCTCATTGTTGTTGTTATTATGTGTGTAGTAGGACAATGTCTACAGGGCCGATACGTATGTATGTTACTTCCTTTATAAGCTTTATAGGCATTCGTTATTTAAATGTAAGAAAATATGTATATCCTCTAATTTCTACCCGTTATAATTATTTGCTAAATTCTGTTAATATTTTTATAATATCACAAACCTACAACAACTGTGCGGCATTGCACGGCAATGCACAGAGTAATGAAACAAGCTCAGAGTAGGAAGAATTATTATGTCTGATATTTGTTGGTCAAAGATGTCATTTGTGAATATTCCTTTATATCATACAACATGATAAGTAATCTTAAGTTAGGGCTTCTAAATGTAGGTTCATTAGGAACAGGCCATGAAGAACTAGTAGTAGCTGTAGATCGCCACGCTGTCGATTTAATGGCGATTAAAGAAAATTTGGTTGCGTGAGGGTGAGGAAGCGCGCGCGCCTGCGGTGCCAGGATACCGGTTACGTCACATTCCTCGACCGACCAATGTGCGCTCGCGAGGTGACAGAGTTGGCTTCTACATACGGCAGGGTCTAGCTGTTCGAACGTTGCCTCATCATTCGACTCCGCTTGTAGAACAAACGTGGCTTGCACTAACTATTAACGGTACTAAGATCGCGATTGGTACTGTCTATAGACCACCATGGTTAAATGTAGACACATTTTTCGATGCTTTGTCTGAAGCTATCGGGACTCTTGCATGGTGCAATTATATAATCTTGTTAGGGGACTTTAATATAAATGTATTGAACACCGCGAATAGTAATTATAAAAAACTTAAAGAATTCTTACAGTGGTACAAACTGATCCAATGTGTAACTGAACCGACTCATTTTACCGTTCATAGTCAAACCTTAAGAGATATAGTTTGTACAGACATCCAGCAATACGAAATTTTAGTTAATCACATACCCGATCTGAGTAGCCGTGCACTTATTTGTTGTGAAATTAATTTCAAAAAGCCCAAACAAAAGCCACTTATAATATCACGCAGAGACTTACATTCCATTGATGTCAAACAGTTTGAATTAGATCTAAAGTCGATGGACTGGGAAACCATCAACACCCTGAATGACGTTAATGATATGGTATCTCTTTTGATCTATATAACACAATGATGTTAACCATATTTGATATTCATGCGCCGCTTTGCACAAAAACTGTAAACATTTACAATATCCCTGGATCACTTATAATAAAAAAAATTATGAAACTTCGGGATGAAGCTGGATTAGTAGCACGTAAATCTGGTTCAGAGATACATAAGAACTATTATAAGGCACTAAAAAAATACTGTACAGATTCGCTTCGCCAAGAAAAACAGGCATACTATGACTACTACATCAACAATACTAAAAGAGATCCTAAAACCATATGGTCACACATAAAAAATGTAAGTAAACCAGAAATATCATACCATATTTTTAATAATCCCAATTTAATTAATACCAGCTTTTTAAATATTCCTGAACATGATCAAATACTTACTTCTAACACGTCTCTCTTTGAATCTCATATAAAAGTTTCAAGTAAATTTAAGCTAAAGACAGTACAGGAAATTGATATTTTAAAAATAGTACAGTCATTAAAATCAAATGCGGTTGGTATAGATGGCATATCTCTTAATATGCTTAAAATGTCAATACCCAAAACAATATCTGTTATAACAATTATAATTAATAAATCTATAGAAACCCATACATATCCCACTAAATGGCAATACGCATTGGTCAGACCTATTCCTAAAAACGCAAATCCAACTAACATGAAGGACATCCCCCGATCAGCATATTGCCGTGTGTGTCAAAGATTTTAGAGAAGGTTGTGGCCGAGCAGATAAGAAAGTATTTGGAAACAAATGCAATACTCCCTAGTTTACAATTAGGTTTTAGGCTACATTATAGTACAACTACCGCTCTGATTATAGTAATCGATGATATTCTGTCAGACCAAGACTCTGGAAAAGGCACAATATTAGTTTTACTAGCTGTTACCCGCGGCTTCGCCCGCATGGTCACTGTGAAATGAACTACCCATTGCTTTTTGAATTGAAAGAAAACTGAGTTTTATAGATTTATCAGAGATGCAGCCATTAAAAGGAAACTGAGCAAAATTGATTCGTCAGCCTATTTAAATGTTTTGAAACGCAGCGTATAGGAAAGCATGAAAATAGCCTGTTTATTCCAAATGGAAATGGGATATTTTTTAATTAAAGGAAACTGAGCATAATTATCCGTCAGGGATGCCGACTTCTGAAAAGAAACTGATCTAAATTGATTCGACACAGATGCAGTTTTCTGAATTGAAAGGAAACTGAGCCAAATAAAAGATCCGTCAGAGATGCAGCCTTTTGAGTTGAAAGGAAACTGAGCTTAATAGCTCCGTCAGAGGTGCAATATTTGGAATTGAAAAGAAACTGAACTAAATAGGAACTTGCCCCGTTTCATAACCGAGGAGTATTTAATTTCGCATTAACATGACTGGGACGCCTAATTTTAATTGAAGCTTATGTGAGGGCACATCTGACAACTCTATAGAATTTAGAAACTCTACGGGATATGAAGTGCTCTGTTCTGTGTCCATAACTGTGTCTACTGACAAATACTCTGTTATTTCTCTGCTACTTCGCTTAATATATCTGAATTTATTTTGTTAACGCTCTCATATTTTGGTGCAAGAATCATCCTTTCACATATCCATTTGTCTTCATGCATGTTAATCGTTAAATCTGAATAAATGCTCGCAATTAATTCGGAATGACTCTGTACTAAATTATGAAAATCTCAATTTAACGCAACTCTCAGCATCCCTTTCCAACCGCCCATCGCCAATTTTTAATAGTGTGTCAGCATAGTTTCCAGCATTGATATCATTATACAAATGCACATCATATTCGTTGTTAAACTGAATTTTGTTACCTTGTTCCATAAAATAGACGACTTGAGGCATGCTTTAATTTCATCTGCAGGTGTGCCCTTTTGAATGACAGGTAAAGTTTGGCGAAAGTCACCAGCCAGTAAAACCACCATTCCCCCCATTACATCGGTATTACTGCGCAAATCCTGAAGTGTTCGATTTAGTGCTTCTACAGCTTTTTTTATGCGACATTGTACTTTCGTCCCACACTAAAAGTTTACATTATCGTAGCATTATACCTCGTGCACTATTTTTGCTAAAGTTGCAGATCGGCTATTCTTCCTAGGCTAGATTTAGAGGGAGTTTTAAAACAGAATTTGCAGTGCGGCCCCCCGCTTAGCAGCGTGGCGGCTGTACCGGTGGAAGCTACGGCCACAGCAATGTTTTTATCTTTCCGTACTTGCGCTAATAATAAATTTAAAAAAAATGTCTTCCCAGTTCCTCCAGAGGCATCTAAAAAGAAAAGTGCACCATTTCCAGATTCAATTTGTCCTAATACTTTGTTAAAAACTCGTTTTTGTTCGGGAAGCAAGCGGGGTACAAATTCGGCTACTTGCTGCTGCAAAGCTGGTATATCGTAGTTTCACGTATAATTTCATCACTTAGTTCATTTTCGGTTGTTCGCTGAGAGCTTATCATTCCAAAGTCGCTTAATTTTTTTGCCTACCATTGCCATTACTTTATCTTCAATTTTTCCAAGTGCTTCATTATAAATGTGTTCATTGTATGTCATGTTCGCGTATATCTGCTGTAACCTTCGCAAAATATCTTCCGCCATATACTCTTTATATTTGTCCCACAATTCATGTGCATTACATAGCCCGCAAGATGATATGAGAATTGCATAAAGATCCCTAATTTTGGCTGGTGGCTGGCACTGCATAGCTTCCACCATGGTTTCATCCCAGTGATTGTCGTTTTCTAAAAGATGCAGAGCTTCACATGCTTCTCTATAAGTTGCGCATTCCTGACCGTTGACATTTTTAAGGTCTTTATATCCTGTAGGACCCCGAACATGGTGCAGCAGCAATCGTAAACAGAAACATTCAAAATTAGTTACATGGACGGTATACACACGACCAAGGGCATCTGATGACTTTACACCGGGCCAATTAGCAACAGGCGCGCCTTGAATACGGCGTTTTCACTCCTTCTTAGATGTGTTCCAAGTAT